ATAGATGTGTTTTGGCCTTCATGAAGTGCAAAGGAGAACCTGAGATTGTACAAGGAGAAGAGCACCGAACTCCGAGGACACAGTTGTCAGAATATTTCCATGTCCATAGGAAAGCTTCCCTCAGCTCCCCACAAGTCCAGATCCCCAGCGGCCCCAGAAACACTGTGCTCTGCAGCCGACATGTAGTTTATGTTCACTACACTCCATAAAAAAGTTGTTGTTTTCAAATGACTGACTGAGAGTATTAAAATACATTGTTGATATTAGAAGTCAGAGGAGAATGGTCAGACTGCTTTAAGGTGATAGGAAGGTACCAGTAACTCAAACAACCATCATTACAACAAAAGAAAGTAGAGCAACTGTAAATGCACAGCACATTGGACCTTACAGCAGATTGACTTCAGCAGTAGAAGATCACACAAGGTGCCACTGCTGTCATCTAAGAAGAGGAAACTAAGGCTACAGAACTGTACAACAGAAGATTGGAAAAATCTTGTCATCTGGTCTGATGAGTCTCGATTTCTGCTGCGACATTCAGTTGACGGAGTCATAATTTGGCAAAAACAGCAAACACATGGCTCAATCCTGTGCTGGTGAAATAGTGATGTGGGAGATATTTTCTTGGCATAATTCGGGACCCTTACCACCAGCTGAGCAGGCTGCGCCTCAAATAACTGAAGCACTTCGATAGTAAAAGGAGGTCTAACCTGGTCCTAGCAGTGTATATGAGTGCATGAGTGAATGAATGTCTTTAAAATTTTACACAAAATAAAATAATATTCCAATTTTCTTCAGTTTTTCCTCCGGACCTTTGACACACAAAAAACATGTGAAGACTCTGTACTGACATCATTTTAAAGTTAAAAATATTTTTTGAACCACTAGAGGAGGCAGTGGGCCGTTGTAAAGGATTTCTAAAACATTGAACACATTTCTTGTTTAGACAGCTGCATAAAAATAATTGTAACACTTTGTAGATGGTATATTACTGTATATTATTATTATTATTATTTTAAGTTTTTTTTTTAAATTGTAGCCTTTTTATGAAATAAAGATCCAGCTTTAATCAAGAAACACTTGTACTGCGCACATTGGCAAATTTAACCTCCCCCTGATATTATTCACATTTACATGAGTCCAAAATGGAAAATAATTAGTGTGTATAAAACTGTGATAAAAGTCCCTGGGTAACTTTTACTCATATTAGGCTTTTAATCACGATCACTTATTGTAGTTGGTGTAAAAACTCTTTATTGTATCTTTCCAGCCACTTGTTTTGGAGATGAAACATTCACTGTCTAATAGCGACTTACACAGGGACACGCTGCACTGTGCTGTATGCAGAACTCTGTAAGCAACTGTATGAACCCCACATTAAACAGTTTTCACTTTAGCTTAACCAACATGTGTGGGCTAAAAAAAAAAAAGTCAATGGTTGGTCTCATTCCAGACAAATCCGCTACCACAACTAAGCACATTTCACTTATCCTGCGGTCGTTAACAGTGTTGTATATCTAAATGGACACGCCATGATGTGAACTGTAGCCAGAAAGCTCTCAACAGATTAAACTAAGTTTGAGTTTGGTCTGTGCATTCAGTTCGTCAACATGAATTAAAGTTAGGTTGAAGTTAAAAATTAACCAAAATTAACCACGATGATCCTGTGGTTACACAGCTAACTTTAATCTTTACTCCGGTGAACAATAGCACTAGTCTTTTGAAGGAATAGCATAATGCCTTAGATATAGTGTTACGTTTGTCTGCTTCTGACATTTAGGCTGACCAGATTATTTCCAGATATAGTCTGCGAGATAGATGTGAAAATAAATGGTGTGAAAATACTACTGAACTCTTAATATAGATCTTTGTGTCTCTGTGTGACTATGTGTGTGTGCCATGTGATATACAAGTACTTTAAAATACCTTTTAATGTTATAACAGCTTATATACAAAATTGAAACAGTTTATGGGGATTTGGTTTTGTGGGCCAAAAAAGTGAAAGTAGTGCCAGCTAAGTGCACAAGTTCACATAACAATCACATTACAATGTGCAGCATTATAGACATGCTATAGCTGACACAAAGGAAAATGCAGTGAGGGTTTTTTTTTTTAAACCAACATGCACACCACATGTATTCACCAAGTGACATTGCAAAGACATCTGCATGTCAAAGTACTGAGACCTTCCAGGAAGTAGTCAGACATAAACTCAGATGCTTGAGAGAGGAGCAGTTCAAAAGCGCATGGGATGTCACGGACGTCAGGCCTCTGCAGCTGTCACCGCTCCGCTCTATCATGATCAACACTTACCAGACCAGCCTGGCTCCACCACCGGTGCCTCCACGCAGCAGGTCCCAGCCGGTCCTCATCCCAGCTTCACTTCCATCGCAGGGCCACAACAAGGTTCTCGTCCGGTTCTTGGTTGGTGTAGTGGCGCTGCATTTATTGCTTTCACTTGCAGGATTCTTCTACCTGTACTACCATGAACATATGGTAAATCATTTTTTTTCTCATTCACTTTGGACCCATTGTATAAAACTGACAGCTTAAACAAAACCAAAATGAACAGTTAAACTCAAAATTCTGTTTTCTTCTTATTACATTTTAACATGACTATATACTAAAATAATTCAGCTTTATTTTAAAACAGGGAAGTTAAGTATGCAGAATTGGTTAGATCTTTTGGTTCACACATTTTTTATGCTGTGTGTAGTTTTACCTGGCTAATTTGACTGCATTTAAAAGATAGGAAATGCTGGCGAGGTGTGCTTATGAAAACCTCCCTTCAGTAAGTTCTTTTACCCATTTCTGATGTTCTACTTTTTTCTTCCCTACAGGAAAAACATTTCTCAGCAGAAGATAGAGGTATATTCAGTTCAATCAATAAATTATATATATTAAATAGAAAATAAAAAGATGTAATGGCATTAATTTCTTTAAAAATTTGTTCTCTCTTTTTCTAAGATGGATTGCCCTCATCTCAAAAGCAGGAAATGGACAAACAGGACACCTTCTATAAAGCCTTAGCACGCATGGCAGTTAAGCGAGCTGAAGGAAAGAAAACACGTAAGAATATTACCCATTTTTTTCTTTTAAATAAAAAAAATGCAGTGACAAGTTATCAAAAATCTATTAATGAGTGTTTAATTATACTTCTTTGTCTCTCCAGCGGGTTGTCTTCAGTGGGACACGATGCACTCTGTTCTTAGAGGCATCAACTATTATGAACAGATTTGGCTGACTATTCCAGAGACTGGTTTTTACTACGTCTACTCCAGAGTGACCTTCTCCAAGGGCGATTCTACGATCCCACTAGCCAGCAAGGTCAAGCTGAGGAAGAACGAGGCAGATAAAAGTGAGGATGTAATGAAGGCCTACTGCTACCTGGAGAGCACAAAGAATCCTCACATGTGCACAGCCGCTCAGGGAGATCTGATCCTACTGGAGAAAGGAAACCAACTGAGTCTCTGGGTACAAGACCTCTCACTGGTGGACTATGAAGAAGGCGCAACAAGCTTTGGGATATACAAACTATAAGACTCATACATGGACACATGAATAGAAAAAAGCTGAAGAATGGGATCTCGTGGATTTATCTACAAAAACACTTTTGAATTGGCTGGCTCAAACATCTTCGTGGATTAGTTTGGATTTGAGAGACATAATTTATTACACCAGATTTTTTTTTTTAGTTATTTTTGTTTTTGTATTGATTAGTAAAATGTTGTATTTATTGATGTAAATAGATTGTGAAATGAAACTAATATTTAATCTGAAACATTTATACTCTTCTCAGTTTTTCTTGCATCAACCTCACATCAGGAACGAGTTACATTTAAAGGACACGCACACATTACACTGAAACATCCAGACTAATGAACCACAGGCTTAGTGGTTTAAAGATGAAGGTGCCGAGGTTCTACGTGTATGAGTTACATTATCCCACCATGAGGTATATTTTCAAAACATTTTAAGTGGTCATAAGGAAACACCTTCGGGAATAAGTCCTAAAAACTGAATTTCCTTAATGTAATGATGGTTACTTTGACAGGTGTAAAAACATCAAGATTCATCACCAGTAAAACCCCTGATGCTTATCATGTTCTAGGTTAGTGTGCACCACTATGGTTTTCAATTTCTAGGACACAAACAAACCACAAAGAGAAGCTGCAGTTTCTCACATCGCCAAATGGGACCACTTAAGATACAGGCTACCCACCAATTTCAGTGGTAAGAGAGGAAGCAAAGGACCGGAGGTTTAAGCAGAATTTCCAGTCTGCTGCATATTTATCATTTAAATTACCCCCCATGCAGCCAGTAGTTATTTTGATAAATGGGGCATGAACCTTCAGACTCTCAAAACATGCGGTGTACAATTCAAAAATCCAAAGTTCCCCACTTCAGTTTGAAATACAGTAATTCTTAAGGAAAACCATTAAATATAAAATACAGTTCAGACCATCCAAAGACCATTTAGCTTTTAGAGTTCAAGCCTGAAGACTATTGCTCTCCAGTTCCGGGTGATTTTACTCTAACCTGTCTGGTGACTACGGTTTTTTTTGTTTGTTTGTTTGGTTTTTTTCAACTGTAACCTGTCTAGTGTAAGTTCTTTTTTTAATACTGTAAATGATGAGTAATATAAAAATTCTACCAAACACCCTCAACACCTTAGACATAACAAAACCTACCACATTGTCACTGTCACAGTGGAGTACAAGAGCATGGAAAGTGTGAATCTCTATGGAGGTGTACAAAGTTGCAGAGGAGGTACATTCTTAGAGAATGTCATCTATTCTAGTCACTCATTCCATCCTGTTTCTCACTACCGCATCTGAGCAACATGCACACTCCTGAACCACACACATGATGAACACAGCATGGAAAAGCCTCTCTCTGTGGATTTCCAGTGTGAATGAAGGAACGCTGTTCGTGCCGTTAGTAGAAATCTTAAGGAGTTTTCCGTTACTCACTTGGATAAATCAATACCAAATGCTGAGCTCCACGTATTATATTAAAGTTTTAATAAAAGAATGATCATACCAAACATAAAGTACAGGGTATCTAGAAAAAAAAAAAAGCATTACAATACTTGCAACAACAATAATTGCATAGAACAGTCTTTCAAAAACAAAAACACACAGTGGTCTGGAGAAAACATTTCAGATAAACGGGTTAAAAATTGGATTTCAACCCCTTTCCACCAGTAAGTACTCACTGAGACTATTGGGAATTTGAAACTACAGTATGCGGCGCTTATGAGAGCAGTTTTTACAGAAAGAGCGGTAATGTTACTCTCAGCAGCGAACGTGACGAGACGGACTCACACATCTGTACAGGAAGCAGCAGTAATGCCGGATAAAATCTAGATGCTATCAGTGTCCCAATTCAAATAATACAGGCCAGCTTCAGCACCTGAGCAGGCATGACCCCGCAGCCATGCTCAAGCTAGACAGTGACCCTGTTACTGATGTACCAGTGCTGCCCTGTATCATACACAGTGCTTCAGAGTCTCTGTAAAGAGGCGCACGAGATCTATGAGAACAGCACTTCACATACAGTAATACGATAGGATACATTTTCATTTTTAATAAGTTTAAATTTGATCACCATCAAGAGACTTCATTAAATAAAGGAAAATGAAATATAATGAATACTTAACTTGAACTTTTTTTTTGGTCAATAAATTGTATTTTTTTATTGCAATTTCTCCAACTTGGGCCCACCATGCTGGGACCAAGCCAGAGGGTCAGTTAGTAAAGCAGTCACTTATTGCATTTCAGAAGCATCTACTGCCTCTCTGCAGTGCAGTAAGATAAGGAAACAGTGTTGACGGTGCACACGCTAAAACCACATAAGGAAATGTACCGTTGAGAGTCCTCGAGAGGCTGTTTTCTTTTTAGACACACTAAGAGCTTGAGCCATTTATTACAGCACACCACCCATGATATTTCAATATGCAATATTTAGTTTATTCACCCCTTCAGGAGGCACTTAAAAAAACCAAAAAAAACAACAACAAATAGATGAGCTTTACTCTACACCGACAAATCGTCTCCATTTCCTCTCTCCATCAGCTCAACAGGAACCCACAAGGATACCATAGAAGCTGCAAAACAAAAACATCTAAATTCTCAAGGCGTGCTCTTTTACGAAAGTAATCTTTCCTCCTATGTGATACAAAAAAATTTTTATTTTCCCTCAGCTTAAAACCGGGGGATTTTTTTTCCTGCCTGTACATATCAGTGTAGTTTATTCAAAGACAGACATAAAGGCAGCAGAACAATATCTAAAAAGCCAACACCACAATGAAATGCTTGGGTGAACAATAAATAGCTATGCAATTTATATGTTAAAAGGATTCTTGGATATATTTCAGTACGAAGAGTAAGGGTAACATCTTTGTTATTATTTGTGTACTCTTGTATAATAAAAGATACATAGTAAGATCTTTTCTATTTTAATATGCAGCTGCATCCCTGATAGCTTTGGACTATATATCTGAATTTCTCGATTATCACATTTGTGATGCAGAATTCACACTGATACATGTACATTCATGCAGTTTTTAAATAAACGATGACGGGCTCCGTTTTAAAACTAAGATTACGACGATGAGCTAACCTGATTGTTTGCCTAAAAAGCAGCCTGGAAATGTGTAATGCGAATGTCTAGAATAATACACACACAAAACAAATCACACATACAAAAGAGAGATTCTTCCCCCCCCCCCAAAAAAAAATAAAAATCTATTTTCCCCATAGGGACCCTTACGCCAAATAAAATACAACAATGACAAAGTGAAAAGAATAAAATCAGTCCCCGTGATAACAGAGGTGCATGCAAGAGAACACCCATTAAAATTAATGGCTTCATACTCCTTTTCTATTTCCAAATGAAGCAAAAGAAATGGTGGCAAACTCTCCCCGTCCTTGTTCGAAATTCTTCCATTTGCTGGGGAGTGTTCACAGTGCCAGTCACCAAGGGGGGGGGGGATTGCTTGTTTCGTCTTGGTTCAGCTGAGCTGCTTCAGAAAGAAGCACGTGTACAGTCTCGTCTAGGTCAGGAAGAAAGAAATCGAGCTCCAGAACCCCTGAGAGCAAGTCCTGCTCTGTGTGATTGAAATGTGATAACACAACATAGATACACAAATACACACTCGTGCACGCACGTGCACACACACACACACACACGTCTGACGCTTTCTGCACCCCCCCGCAAGCGTTGTTGCAGAAATGTTGACACATACACGCACAGCCACAAACGAATGCTGATGATTGGATGGTTGTGCTCAGTGGGCGCCGTCATCCCAGCCACAATCGTTCTTCTGCTTAGCCAGTTTACGGACAAGTCTCTCAAGCTCCTTGCGAGACTTCTGCTCCTCCTCCAGAAACTGCTTCATCCACTTATTCTCCTGCCACACATTGTGTAAAATAACCAAGTTAAGATATATCAGAGCCTTTCAAGCATGCGTTTCACAATTTGAGGACATTTCAATTCAGTTCACTTCTTACTCACTGCCAAAAACCACCCCAAAACACCAAACCTTTCAATATTTTATTGAGGATATACGTCTAAATAGCGAGCAGTCAATTTTTGAACATGAGAGTCTCCTTCGTGCTTGAGTGTTTGCACTCATTTCTTTCATCTCGTCTGCTCTCGGTTTCACCATGTATGCGTAAAAGCCCCACCTCCCCACACATGGAGCAGAACTTCAGTTGGAAAAAACGAAATGATTTCATTACCAGAATTAAACGCTGAAAGTGACTGATTATATATGTCCAAATGACCAAACAAACTCAATCTGATACACAAAAGAGAAAAGCAATCAGGAAAGGAAACAGAGTGACTGCTTCCCCTAGACAACCTATATTCTTGCATTAGTGATCTCCAATCTCACTCACCTTTTTAAGCTCATGAACCTCATCCTTTAAAGCGTACACGGCATCAACCAGACTCCTGAAAAAAAGGGTAGCATAGTGTTTGTGTCATACTTCAAGATATGATATGCACGCTTTAAACACCCTCTCCATCTCAAAGAAAGCTAATTATTTTGCACTTCAAACACATATCTATGTACATCTATACCCACACATATACGGTTGATAGACAGCATCTCAACAGGTTAAATGGGATTAACATCAAAACTCTGAATCTATCTGCAAAAAAAAGTACATCTGAATACACATAAAAAGAGTACTAAGTAATACTATTCTTACTTTTCCTCAATAACCGTCTGCCCGTTGCTCTTCATTTCCTCCACAATGATCTTCTCTTCCTCTGGCAGGAGCACCTGAGGAACACACTCTTTCCGTACCGCTGTATAAACACACACACACACACACACACAAAATAATGATAAAGCTAAAATCATTAGAGCATAACTCTAAAAAGGCACTACAGACGCAATTCATCCACATCATTCTGCAAATACACACCCGTGGTGCTCTGATGCAGGCTGGCTCCCGTGCAATATGCCTCAATTACCCTCAGAATCTGAGCATCCTCCTCTAGAGCAACTGTACCTGTAAAAACCAGAGATTGCCATTATTACACAGCACTCTGCTGAAATGAATGCAAATGACATTAGAGGTGTAAGGTAAGAGGTTTGTTCTGTGTGTTCATTTTAAGATAAAGCAGCGCTGCAGAAGCCCCAAGTCTGCTCTAGTGATTTCTAAACCATATATGTTACATTATTTCTGAGCAACATCATTAAAAGAACATAACTTCTTGTTTAAAAGCTTGTTTTGAGCAATGCTTTACACCTCCCATTCCCTAATATAAAGCAAGACACTTACTTCTTCTCATGTGAATGTCATCATCAGAGGTCTTGCGCTCTTTCCTCCTATTTCCTGGCAAGAACCTCATAGGCCGTGGGCTCTTGCTGGTATCCTGGAGGTGGTCGACAATAAACTAAGTACATCTCTGTACACAAAATCCCTCCTCCTACACACACAGAGCAACACACTTCTGAAAGCCAGTGGTCCAAACCAACCAGAATGCAAGCTGAAAGGGATGTGCATCCCATGTGAATAAACATCAGTAAACACACATACACCACACACAGAAGTCCATCAACAAACACAGCAGCAAGCATGTGATGATGACCAAGACCAAATTAGCCAGTGATCTGTGTTAATATGTACCTTGCCTACCAGAGTTTTACAAAAAAAAAAAAAATACTATGACTTATTTCATCACCTTTTTTTTTTTTAAATCTACATCTTTACCCACATCCCACTGCAGCAAAGGCAGAAGAAAAATACTTTCAATATAAAAGCTTTATCTGTGGTCTGCATCAATTAGAAAACCATGAGAAAGGATCTTATCTAAATGATTTAAACCATGTGGTTTTATGAGCTGCTGTCTTTGGGGTCAAAATGATGGTTTCACTAAACACATGAAAAGTTGCGCTTTGATGACTAATTAACGTGTTAAAAACGATTCCTAAGTCACGGTGAGGGTGATGTACTTGTACCATTACATACAGGTGCTGCAAAATGACTTAAGAACATCTTATGATGTCATTTGCCCCATGTCCTTGGCTGGAACTGAAAAGTTGGTCGAACACGCAACTGGAAACAGTTGATTCATGGGACATCCCTAAACTTCGCTGAAACGATTTTCTCGTAAGAATCAGGAGGACGGAGTGACTCCTGATTGTCACCACCTGTCTTTTGAAACCACTGAAGAGGCCACAGGACTTACAATAATGCAGGTGCACGGTGTAAAGGTTGTTTCCCTATATTGGTTTTGTGTGCGGGGAAGTCATTTCCCAAAGTTGAAGGAAAGGTAGATTCAGGTGCTGTTCCATTAGCAACTCGGCAATTACTCAAGCGCGGAATGACCTCACACGTAAAAGGTTATGAAGTATATGTATAAGAAGCTATTTTGGCTAACGTGTTAAACAACTGCTTGATCTGACTGACTAAGCTGAGCTTTTCCGCTCATTTAGAAGTTGGTGTTTAAACTTGTGCACCTGTCTGGATCAAAAACAAAAAAACACTATATCATTATGCATGGAGAACATAGTTTCCTTCCACCAGGTTTTCCATTAAATGAAATTGAACTTCAATGAAGTGGGATGTCATCTAAGCCATAAAAGCATACTTAGTCTGCTGACAATTTAAATGTGGAAACATATTCATGGCTGAATGACTGTAGAACTCAATATGCTCTGTGCCTACAAGTCCAAAAATAGCTTCCCTAGTACAATTTTCTTCTATTGCTCCTTCAGAGAAGGATTTCAAAAGATAGCTGATGCCGTACATGACGACTAGAAGACAAATAGCAGGTTTGCGGCACCACAGAAACAGGAAACTAACAGATGATAGCAAGAGAGGGGTGATGCAGAGAGAGCAATGACATGCTAGCTCAACACTGGAGATAACACACACACACACACACACACACACACACACACACACACACACACACACACACACACACACACACAGGCAACCCCATCCCACCTTTCTGAGCCCACATCCTCCCACACACAGAGAATAGAAACACAGTGAGGTCTAACCTTACCTTCATGATATAAGACATCCTCTACAGAAGGCAGAATGGAGAAAGAGAGAAAGGGGAAAATGTGCATGAAAAATACAATGAGAGGAGGATGCGCTAGTGAGAGTTAACGATGAACATTTTTAAAAACCCGTCTGCCATTCACCTATTCTTCGTCTGTGCAGAATAGGGTGATTTTGGTTTCGTATAAAGAGAGACGTATAAAGAAAAGAGAAAACTGACAGAAAGCCAGCAATGCATTCAGGACATGTGCATGCAATCTCTATAAGATAAATAGACCCAGATGGCTGCAAGCATGCTGCCTGCTCCCGTCTTCAAGTTTGTTGTCAAGAAGGCATAAACACATATTTAAAATACAAGCTATTAAACAAGACACATGTTAGTTTGCAGATATCACATGTGATACACTGATATCTATTCAACACATTACCAGAGTCAAGTCTAACTGAAACTTTTAAAACTGCTGACTTGATACTTTTGTGAAAAGCGTACACCACCCACATAAGACCACACCGTAAACATCACATCGCTCATAGACAAGTAGCTCATAACCACTGATGCAGTCATCATTCTTAAATGCCAGGCACCCTTTGTGACCTTGCTGCCATTACTGGAAAATATTTCCTCAGAACAACACCTTGACTGCCCATATTTCAGGAACAATTTCAGTAGTTTCAATTTTGTTCCCCTTCTTGCAACTAAAGCTAAAATGATGCTCGCTGCTTGCCTTTGAAAGGCCACTTTAGCTAACTCACACCCTGCACTGTTAATGTCACAGCCATTACCACATTTTCAGAGCCTGTGACCACATACCTTTAAGCTGTACGCTCCAAACCATATTTTGTTGCGCTGATGAACAGCATTAATGTGAGTTACTGCATAGCAATACCACAGTTCCTTCGATTAATGGTGTCAGTCTATAACCACTAAATGATTATTTAGAACAACATATTACCAAAATATAAGTTCACTATGTCTCAAAAAATGTAGTATTCAGATAAGACCGATCAACCACTTTATCCAATTGCAATAATCTTAGTAGGAGTCTCAATTCAGAAGAGAGTCCCACATCTTTTCTGGTCCGTCAATTTTAAATTAATAATAAAAAAAAACAACAGAGCTAAATTCCCAAATAACAGATGTGTATATGTTAACTAGTTGAATTGCGACACTGAGAACAAAGAAGCAGCTCTTTGGAACACTTTAGTATTGCAACACCTCAGTACTTCCTGTGTCCGGTGACATTTGAGCCATAATTAGTGCTGACACTAGAGTGGAGGACAGGACGCTTTGATTTAACCCATATGATGCTTTACTAGTAAAATAGTAAATAAATGAATGAATCTATAACTCCAAGTCAAGATAATACTCTATGTCTTTTAAAACTAACTGAAGTGAACCCAGTGCCTCCAAAAACAGCATCCGGTGAAGTGCACAGTAAAGCGAGGATTTCACACGTTTGTAATCTCAAACAATTTTCTCCGTCCTATTAATTGTAGGAATTTTTCATAAAATGAAAGTTAACTTGCAAACATGGACCATAACTCATACACGCACACCTCTACTTTGTGCATCTGAAAAATGTAACATACCAGACAAAAATGGAGACTACTGAGCTCTCGTGTGTATAAGCCGAATGTTTAGATTTAGTTTATTTAAAGTTCGTGTGCTTTATTTGTTTTTTAATATTTATTACATGTCTAGTTTTTATGGCTCGAATTTCATTAGCATTTAGTGCGTGATATAATGGAAGGCTTAAGCTAAAACACATCACTGTAAGACTTGACAAGTTACCAACAAACACGGATACAGCGGTGGGCAAGCAGAGGAAGGGGACTTCTGCTATTGGTACAGTTTTCTGGCAATGTATCGAATGACTGATACTAAGAGACTGGTGTGGGCTTGTTTGTGCAACTTTCTACCTCTTTGTAGCCCAGAGCAGCTGAAGGTTTGAGGGGAGGTGCGGGCCGCAGACAGCTGAGAGACCAGGGCTTGCTAATCTTTGGTGGTTCCAGGGGGCCACGACTGACGCTGCTGAAGCTGCCCTGGTGATGTGGGTGAGTGGTGGTGCTGATCATGCTCACTGGTTTACCATCTGCGTTCTGCATTGAACCAGACAAAAGGAAGCAAAGCAAATACTTGAGAATTACTGTGCATGTGTGGTGAAACATGAGTCTGCCGTTTGTCACTTTTTGGTTTTCACACCTGGGAACTGTGTAGGATTCACTTTTGGTACTGTTTTGAATTTATGCATACGTGTGTCTGTCTCTGTCCTAACCTTTGAAATGGTGCTGGCAGGGCTTCCGCCTTTGGTAAAAGGTTGAAGGTGCTCTAGCCATTCCTGTAACTCCTGGGCACTGCTGCAGAACACTGTAATGCGATCAATCATGCTTCCTGCAGCAAATAAGACAACACGCAATAAATGAAGAGCTGCTTTCCTTCACAGGTGTTACATACAGCGTTTACATAGACTCATCATGGGCATGAATGTCCTCAGAACAATGAGAAAGGTTAAGTGACTCAGTGAAGCTCTAAGGAGAACTGATGATTTACAAAGTCGCCAAGGTCGGGAGAAAGACCCAGACTGTCAGTCTCAGGTGGGGTCTTCAGGAACAGCCCAGGACCCACCAATGCTCAGGCCTGCCATGAACAGGGAACTCTTATATCGCCATGGACTGAAAGGGTGCCAACCTAGAAAAGAAACCGCTGCCTGGAAAAACCGACGCTTTTTCTGGGCAGCGAGTACAATTTCCACTGCTACCCACATGAACAAGCCAAATGTCTTCTGGATCAAAGTTTTATGGTATGATGGGAAAACAATTGCATTATTCGGCCACAATGATAAGAGGTATGTACCAACTGTAGTTACCAACTGTCAAGCATGGTGGTGGTAGCATCAAGGTGCACTGAGAAACTTGGTAAAGGACATTTAACCAAATATTAGTAGGGGTGTATGTATATTTTTGCCCCTGTTCGGATTGGAGAAAATCTAAAATAAATTAAAAATTGTACAATTATTCTTTCTTTTAAAGTAATTAAAGGTTTATGCTAAATAATCATTCCACCCAGGATAAAGAACAGTTCACAGAAATCATCTAATGCCCCAAACGACCATGACATTCACGTCCATGATGAGTGTATGTAAACTTCTGACCACAACTGTACGATTCATAAGACCAACGTATGTCACAGCCAGAGCAGTACCACCCATACTTTATATTTTAGCAATAATCAAAGCATGTTTTGAAAAACCTTATGGTTCTAATACTGGAAGTCAAGCCACTGAAAATATGAGGTTTCACATTTACAAACAATCACATTTATAACATTTCACATCGTTATACAGAAAACAGCTTTCTTTAAAAAAGAAAAGAAAAAGAAGAGTGGAATAATGGATGGATGGATGGATGCATTCCAGCTTTGGATGTATGGCTTTTTTAAAGGATGCCAGACTGACTTCACCATTGGGCTAATTTTTTTGTCACACGGACAAAAAACCCTGCTTTGTACAAACACAATGAACTAATGAAAGCATGAATACTTTACAGGGGAAAAGTGTTGTCCTGAAACACTTCAAATGTTAAATGTTAAACAATTCAATGAATTGGTTGGTCAAATAGTTTATTGTTATGTAAGAACAATATCACTGTCCTCTCAAATCTTTTTTTTTTTTTCTTTATTTTTGTCCTAAAATTTCAGATTTCAGAACAGGATAAGTGGAAGGAAATGGAGGGATGGCTGGTTGGATTTTAGATGCAAACCTGTGATGTCAAAGGCAAAGTGGGAAATGTCTCCTTCGTCCGCGTGCCTCGTTACTGTGGTACCTGTTAGAGGCAGTCTGCCCTGAATGGAGGAAAACCAAAGAGAGAGGAACACTCAAGTGTAAACAAACTAAAAGATGCAGTACTGTGTATGTCGTGACCAGAAAAAAAAGGTTAATCAAGGAAAATCAGGACTGGATAACATTAGGGACAACTGATGTTACATATGTGTTTCATTAAACATGTATATGTAAAGAAAATTTTGAAACTGAGCAACTTCAAATCTTTCTTCAATTTATTCTAAGATAGTATCCACTTCATGCTTTAGACAGTGTTTCCACAACTGATGGAATAGAATGAAAAAGGAAAACCGTGCATATTTAGGATTTATATTTAATACTCTATTTATTTATTGCATAGGCTGCTGTTTGCAGCTGACTGAATACATTAAGTTTGACTAAACACTAAATCAGCCACAAGTTTGTGCGCGTTTTCAAAGCGTTTCTCTAGACGGGAGGTAAACGACATACCTGATAAATAAAGCCACTCATCCGGGGACTGGCAGACAGCATTACTAACACATTCGGGAAAAGCATAAGGTAACGCTCCTCTTTTTCCTAAAAGAGAGACACAGTAATTATTTTTGCAAACCTATTGTGAAGGTTAGAAAATGCATTTTTCAACAACAACATTGATCGGTTATGTTTTTTTTGGTGTTCTTTTTCTTGAGTTATTCAAGGTAAACCAAAGTGATTCATTGCACTTCTTTGCAAGAAGCAAGCCGTTTCAGGTTTCCCTCCTAATGTGACAAAAAAAAGTGAGCATATTTTAGCTCTGGTTGCAGCAGGCCAGTTTGGGAAAACACTTGCTTGTTATATGAATGGAAATTCAAATGAGCTATGAAACAAATATGGTAATTGTTATGCTGGTTGGAAAGCGGTTGGCAGTGATTAAAAAAAAAGAAGGGGGGGGTGAATCCAAATGTGCATCTTGGGCTTTCTTCCAACCACGGACTACGAATCGACCCCTACACAGAAACCACACATGAAAGAGGAGACGGCTTTTGGGTCTGCCTATGGCCTACTTAGGTTTCAGTTCTCATACTTGAGGGGGGTAATAATTTAGCAACAAAGGGGAACAGATTTCCGCACCTACAGTTCCTGAAAACTAGAAACTTAGTTTGTTTTAAAGATTGCTACACTGCTGGATCTCAACAGGAAAAGAGAAAAATGTACTACAGATAAATTATCTTTTAATTAACAACAACTATTTGTTGTTATGAGAGAGCTGTAAAGGAGCCAGGCAGCTTAATTAATTAACTGATATGATTTTTCGTAAATGCTACAAGGACTGGCTTTCAGAAATGGGAAAATACTACCAAACCTCTGATTGTACACATATTCTAAACTAACAAAAGGATATTTTGTATTTAGTATTATTGCGGCAGTTCCACTATAGTTTGGCTGAATGAGCTTTTTCTTATTTAGGAAAACCTCATATCTCTCACCTCACTGCAGCCATTTCTCACATGCACCAGGGACGTGTAGGCCACTTGACCAAGACTCTTCATGCTTTCTCCCTCCCAGCCCCGCACAGGTTCTGACAAGATCTGCAGCTCCAGGTTCTTGCGCTTCCGCAGATCCTGGCACTGTGTCTTAAGCACACAAGCACACACAAGCTTACAAAACTGTGCAACATGCTGGTGGAAAATAAATCTGATATTTTTCTGGACCCTTTTTTCTTGCCTTTTATTACTACTGAGTAACAAGCAACAGGATAATCTCTCCCCCCTGTGGATATGGCTTTGAAAATGTAACCATTGCCATGTACGCAAAAGGCATAAAAACTAGCATGCAACATAAAGTAGTACATTTTTCAGGTGCTGTGCAGGGGTTCTCCCTCTTCAAGCAGAAAAAAGTGACAATGCAACATTATCACTTTCCACTGCACGTCAATCAAAAATTAGGGTTTTTTTTGTTTGTTTTTTTAAAGAGCACTGTAAATTAGCATAGCATTTCTAAAGTACCAGAGATCCTAACCACACTCAAAACACACAAAGAAACGTCAGACTTGCAAATTACAACGGAGAGTGATAAATGATGCCTTTTTTTGTTTCCCCAGTTTCCTGTGTAGAAGAAACGAGTGAGTCACTTTATCTGCTCTTATGAGGAAGTCAAAGCAATACCGGGGAATTTGTGTCTCAGGGTGGCGTTCGCTCAGGTATAGTGCGGTTGCTCGTTTCTAATCCAGCTCTTTTAAGATGGCATTTCAGTTCCCACCCACCTTAGGAACAATACGATCACTCAACTTAAAGCAGAAAAAAAGGATCACTGCATTGTTTCTGGTTTTTTCCCCCCTATCAGAGCTCTGTTTGATTATGAGGAATTGTGCTAAACTACTCTGTCGAATGAAATGAAAACATGTAAACACGAAATTGAAAGTGTGATAACATTATTTACCAAGAGCGTCATTTCCACCATTAACTAATTCCTTATTAGCGTGCGTATTAGCAGCACAATGGCTTTTATGCGTCACCATTTTCTACAACTGGTAACCATTTTCCCTCAGTTACCATCCAAGTCCTGTTTAATAACAATATGTAAGGATAATAAGCTTTACTTTGTATAAGCCTCATTACAGAAGATTGCACTGTAACATAAGCAGTCACTCCCTATTATCTGCAGCTGATCTGTTTTTGTTCAAAAGAAACCACAAGTGTTAGTTTCCAAATAACTGTATCGAGCTTTTTTAACTCAGAATACAGTTTTCATTATTTTATAAAACTGCCTACTCTTTACACCAAGATCCGACGCTGAAGCACACAGCTACTGAAATGACTTCACCAATTATTCAGCTATTCTTAGTAAATGGATTACACCTTGAAAAAACTGCAGATTTATGCATTTGTCATTAACTGCCTTAGCGAAACCTAAATTGGCGAATAACGTGCAGGCAAGACCTCACTACAATTACTACTGCTGGGCACTATTAACACTAGCACACTTAAGCAGTGGTCCCAACCCCTGGGCCACAGACTGGTAACGGTCCGTGAGTCGTTTGGTACCAGGTTGAGGCTCGGGTGTTAAATTTATGGTTTTCAGGGTTTTTTATCGTTTTTATCGTTAACTTGGTTTCCCTGGGTCTTTTCCCGTGTGTTATGAATAAAAGAATTTTTTGCTACCGGTACTGGTTTTATTTTGTTGTATTTATCCGCGACACCTTAAAGGCCGGTCCGTGAAAATATTGTCAGACATAAACCGGTCCGTGGCGCAAAAAAGTTTGGGGACCGCCACACTAAAGGATTAATGAGTGCTTTATAATGACTAAAAAGGTTGAAAATGTACTCATAAATCCTACAGTATATTAATTTCACTAAAACATACTATGATTGACTTAAATAGTTGATGTGCAATGTATGTGCAATGTGCTTTTAAATGTTAAGTATTGATGTATTGATGACAATTAATTACTAATCAAGATTATTATTCTGGGGAAAAAATGACATTTTAATAAATATAATCCATATTATTAATTTTATGCAAAATGTATTTTTTGGATAGTAAGGGTGGTAAGGTAGCACGGTCCTGTAAGGAGGAAATCCAGGAGCTTCACAGTCTGTCATGACATTATCCAGGCTTCCTCTGCAAGTTCACTTCGATCCTTCTGACTTACCAAAAGGCTCCTAAACGCCGCTGTTGCCTTTACAATGTCAGTGTAGTCAGGGTGGGCTTCCTGCGGTGCAAATGAACATTACAGGTTTAAACATAACAGTCTTTATCCTAAAGGAATACAAGAGCACATACAGGTATACTGTGCAACACAAAGGGAATTCAAGGACTGAAAAAAATCATTTAATGCAAGTTGTTTAATTTATGAAAATACATAGTGTAACTTTAATAGTAGTTTAGCTTCTGTAAGTAAAGCAAGTGAATAAAACAGTAAAAAAATATTGTATTTATACTTGTATATAATTTCAGTATGCTTTTTACATGTCTATGCCCTCTCCTTTACCTCCACATGTCTCTCTAGCTCCTGTAGCAGGGTAGGGTATTTTTCAAGCCTCATGAAGGGCTTACTGAGGCTGGTGGTCAGGGTCATGACTCCTCCAGTACTTGCTCCATGACTCTCCATGAACTTCTCAAGTTCCTCACTAAGAAAACACACACACACACACACACACACACACAATTTATAGGCAATATTTTATTTGGGGGTGGGTGGGGGGGCAAGTGTGTCCAGGGATGAAGTACGGGGGGGGGGGAGCGAAAAAACAAAGATTACGGGTAACGAGAAAAATCACAAGTTTTTGAGTCTAGATTGCATGCAAGCTGTAAGCCAGGTATTTATAAATTATTATATAAACCTTCATTTTTACTATATAATAAATTGTAAGATAGGCTTTAAAATTATAACATAACCATGTATTTCTTGCTGTGCTGAACTGCAAAACGTAGGAGTGAAATTTTGTATTTTTAATAACACAACGTTACCATATACAACACACATTAACCACATTATCAAAAGCTCTCACTTTCATAGAACTGTCCCACCAGTAAAATGAAACAAAGTGTGCAGAAAAGCTCAAAGAATTAGTCATTTTAACACAAATACATCCATGTTTCATTAAAGTGACAAATGACTCGACAGAGTTCAGAAATCTACACTAAACAGTGGAAACACTGCTGAGAAACAATAGGAGTGTCCTCATAAAACAACACCATGTGATAAGCTTTGAGTATATTAATTGTCACGCTATTCAGTTGTTAACGAGATCAGCAACTCGATTGGAAATGCAAACGACAACCTCGGACAACAGCACCTCTTCCTGTTTCCTTAAATAGAGAAATAAAGAAATAAATATCAATAAAAGTTAAGCTATATTTTTGCCTGGTAACAGGTTTCTATATGCTACAATTTTTTGAGCTGTGGTAGTCATCATATATTTAGATTTTTTTTTTTTAAATGTAATATTTGTATTATGTTCATGTTTTGTGATGGTATATTGATGAAATCAAAAGTAACAACATATTACCGCACACTGCCCTTTATTTGTTACAGCAAAGCGAGCCGATCGCACTGCAGAAAAACAGTAACCCAAGTGTATCACATTTGTGGTGCATGTGAGATTTTCACATGCACCATCTTTGATGGTCAAATATTTCACAGACAGTGCAAATCAGGTCAACATTGGTTTGGTGCAAATCTACGTCGTTAGCTGCAACATGATCGCTTCAAACGTGGTTTGAAGAGATCGTCATTCATGAGTTTCCACGATCCAAAACATAAATCTGCAGCAGCACTAACTGGTACAAAAGGGTAAATGAGAATGTGACAAAAAAGGCTCCTGCAACTGAAATGCAAATGTGCTTACTGTGAAAAGCGCTCTGTGCGCCTGTCCCCATAACCACAACGCTATACACAGTATCCTGTCAACAGTTGACTTCCTGTGTGTAATTCAACTTAATCTTCAGCTCGCAGTGCAGAAATAGACTAGACGCCTTAACATTACCCAAGGCGGTACTGTTTAAACTGCATCATGGAACTTTCATTATTATTACTATACACATAAGAGAAGCCCTTACTCAATAAGAATAATGAATTTTAGTAGCAACTGAACTCCCAGAAACATCAGGAGACAACACGCACGTTCGACACAAACACTTCTTTACCTTTACTGACACCTTGTGGCTCAAAGTAAAACGGCATGAGATCATTAAAATGGTGCGCAGTGCCCCCAGAAATTAAACATAAACCAACCACATATTATTTTCTCCCATATCATATTAACCCATATGGAAAAAAGAGGTGAAGGAGCTTTACTGTATCAAACTTCAACTTTAGAGTGCACTTCAAAGGTCAGTTTAAGACAGCACAGCATTCATATCCAAACAATGACAGATTATATTAAACCTAGGATATTCCCTTCTTTGACTGCAAAAACTACATAATTTGCTGGGCCTTGGAGATGTCAAACTATGCAGTACTTAAAGAAAAAAGGCAAAAGACATAAAAACAACTGTCACCTGCAGAAATTTGTTTAGTTTTCCCCAGGAAAGTATTTCATTCACCTTTAGGTCAACTTTTGGCTTTTTAAAAGGGGTTTCATGGGATATATTATTGTCTAAGGAATGCCACTAACATTTATTAAAAATACAATACAATGTTTAGCTAAAATAATCAAAATTCAATCATTGGAGAGGATTGGTTACAAATCTTCACCACTGGTTTCTTTTCGCTTTGAAATTAAAAGGCGAGACTTCTCTCTGGCATGTCTCTACATGGCTGACTCTGGTGTTTTGTGTGCAGGGGGGCTGACCTGTGGTCGGTGAGGATGCAGACAGCTGAAGGGTGGCTGGAACAGTAAGCCAGGTACAAAGCCTTGATCTGACACATTAGGTTTAGATAGCAGGCCGCCACTCGCTGCTGTCCCTCTGGGACCCTGCAAAGTCAGAGAGACAGAGCCAAAGTCAGAGAGGTGAAAAGAGCGGGGGGAAAAGCAGGATCATTGTTAAAGAAAAGAAAGACACAGAAACAAAAGATGGCACAATAAATAAAATAAAAGAAGCGAGCATCTGTTTTTTCCCTAATTTTGTTTAATTTTAGCGATAGCTCTCCAGGCTTTCAGAAATTATGTCAAAGTCTTTCTTTGGACACTGGCTGTTTTTTCACTCAGAGGCAACTAACTCAAGGATTGAACCAGCATCGTCTCTACGACACAGACAGGTTGGTAAATAACAAGTTAAAATGCTATTTTATCGACTGTCGCAAGCACACTTCACTTGTTCTAGTTTCTTGCTGAATCTATGAAAAATACCAAAGATGATGGAGTTGATACACATAAAATAGCATTTTTACAACAACAGGGCAATACCCAAAGAGCTACAGTATTAGCTGAAAACTTGGTATATCTCAGCATAGTGTACAGTGTGTCTTTATGAAATTAGAGGAAACTGAACTTTTGAATGACAAAAGTGTTTAAAAAAACAAACAAACAAAAACAAAAAAAACCCACACACACAAACATCTACAGAACATGAACTGAATCTGAAAACCATGTCCTTAAGAAACGGGAAAAAATCCGACAAAGACCTGACAACATCTGGGAGATACACCTGGACCTTCAGTTCAGAAGAGTGGCTATCAAGAAGCAATTTTTAAGAAAGGGAAACGAGCAGAAAGGTCTGAGGTATACCAAATTCCACAAGAACTGAACTGAAAATCAGTGACAACAGGTCTGAAGGAATCCAAATTTGAAATTTTTGGTTGAAATTGTCCTTATTTACAAAGGAAAGACACAACAGTGAGTGTCCAGAGCCATATGTAAATCATGGCGGACGCTCGGCCATGGTTTAGCTTCATTCCTTGAGCATTACCCCAAATGCATCGCCAGCTGTCATCTTTTCTGTCCTCTTTATAGAGCAACATCCAAAGAAGAGCCTCGAATCTCCTCCAAGAAGCCTGGAGAACTATTCCTAAAGACTACTTTCCACATTTCAGTGTATCACCACCTCTATCTTCCGTTTTCGCAGTAAATTATAAACAAATTAGAGGTGGTTTAAGTCTGTAAATATAAGATTAAAGCATTAAGCCCAACTTATTTCATTAGAAATATTTCAGAAGTGTTTGGACTGCACAATCTATGCGGCTCTAAAACTTCTTCACCACCAGTGCATAAACAAATCAAAAGGAATTTTTCAAATATGTGTGTGCAATAAGTAGCTGTGACCCATTTCAAACACTTTATCAGCTCAGTTTCAAGATGATATTTGTACCAGAAAGAAAGAAATAGGAAGAGATGTCTGGGAGGAAGGAAGTGATTGCAAAAATATTATCAAGTATGGTTCGTTTTGGAGAACAAGTATAGAATTTGTGCAGCGTAAGGAATGAGATGAAACTTTTAACTAGTAATGTTTTACAGATGTGTTTCGCTATGTTTTACAGAACAATCACAGGAGTAGGGTCCATTGTGGTCCAAATGTTGCTCTTTACTAAGAGTGGTGTAAAAGTAGTTAAATGTAACCAATGAACGACTTTTTCACATGTCTACATCCAGAATTACTTACTTAGTACATTCCTCCAAAGCCAAACAAAGTCCCTGCTGGAAGCTATTGATATCCTCCAGATTTCCACACAAGGTGGCACTGTCTGCACTGCTGAGCCTAAACACAGAAGTTATTTTAGAATTCACTGCAATTTCGACAAATTCAAAAATACTGGCACACATGTAAACATTTCTCACATTAAGCACAGTTGTAATAAATGCATGCAGCTTTTTATCCTATCATGATCCTGTCACATCTGCTGTTTTATTGCCCTTACTTGTCACTGGATTGCAGGGGTCGTAGGTAACAGTTCAACACTGTTTGTAATTCTTTGAGAAACTCTCGCTCGTGTTCTAAGATGTCCTGTACCACCTGGAGAAGCAGCACAGTGAGCAGAATATTTAACATCTCACACACACAAACGAAATCAACGACACAAATATTAAAAAACTAAACAAACTAAAACCTAAAGAAAGTCTGACTGGCAGTATTCAAAAAAAACACACAAAGTTGAAGCTGAATCCCATAACCTTCCAGATCTTAATATATTCTGGTGAAGTAAATCACTTTCGATCAATGATTAACATCCGTCAGCACCAAGAAAATGTACATTCTGACTTTAACTCCATTAAACATCTAAGGTACAACATTTACTATTCCCAAATATTAAGATAAGCTCTGCATAAAATACCTTTTAACCAAAGTCTTACAAAGAAAACGAACTCATTGTCCTGCATAGCTCCTACTTACCACACTGTAGTAGTTCTTAGTCAGCTGAGTTCCTTTAGGTGACAATGGTTTTTCTATAGAGAGAAAAGCAATAAGGATTTTTAAGCTTCATAGAATTACTTGATTATAACCATCAAAAAAGATATTAAATGCATTTATATATTTTGAGGGGAAGAAGGGGGAAATAATTATATACGTCCTATTAAAAAAAAGAAGTTGCCATTAAATACTTAAATACATAAACTACAACCTCTTTGTCTAACTTGCAAGACAGATTTTTCCCCCTCACATATCCATATTTATTCTAAGATGCAAATCATATCAAATACTTTGTGGTATATATTGTCAGCTTTTGTGTAACTGCACTATTCTATCACAGTGTTTCTGAAAAAAGAAAAATAACAATGCAAATACAATACCATCAGGACACTTTCAGATATGCCAAATATGGTCATAATCTCAACTTCTCTTCCTGCACTATAGTGCTGAATGGCCAGAAAAGTGCGTTTGCAGAAGAATATGGTGAAACGGTTGATCTTTTGGATATAACATTTCATTTCTCGTTATTATTTTAGCACAAGATATTTGTGTAAAATGTTCTGATAGTTAACATATGAATCAATTTATCTTGAGTCTAAGTAAATGTTAAGGCTAACTTTGAAAAAAAAAAAAAAACGTTTAGCAGAATGGGATGACTGGCAACGAAAAAGAAGGTGACAGCTGTCTACAGCAAGGAAGTGTAACACAGCACTAAATGCAAATTACAGAAACCAAGAAAAATTTAATTTTTGCATTTTGTCCCAAAATAACAAACTCATAACACCATTATACGGCTACATCTCTAGAAACAGTAATTTCACGGTCCAGACAGAGCAGCGAAACTCACCACAGGGTTTGATCTCCCGGACGTAGTTACTTGGAAACCAGCCCGTTTTGCCGTTGAGCGTGCCCTCCCACCATCCTCCCTCCTCCTGGCGTGTCACAAGGATCACTTCACCTTTATTGAATGACAGCTCATCCTCATTGTTCTGCTTGAAGTTGAAGCGAGCCTTTACCATCAGCTGCCCACCTCCACCGTTCTCAGACATTTCCTGTTGAGAAAGGTCGTCACAGCCCGAAAGCAAGACATCCAAATGCATCAGCAGGTTTCGATTTTACGTTTCAGGTACCTGACAAATGGCTGGTTTGTTTTCAAACAATTCAGTTGTTATTTCAAAATTTGTCTTAAAAAATTTAATCAAGAAATCTACGGCTCTAATTTTATATTTCTGCGTTTTGTGATTATTGTTAAAATTGTACCATTAGCAGCCAAGGACACAGCCACACAGCCACAGAATGAATCAAGTACATCTGCCAATACAATGACTCATCTACACTTCATGGTAGGCATTAATAAAAATATACACTCTGACTAAACTCATACGCCGATGTAGCGATGTTGCTTGCAGTTAGTTTAAACCAGTTACAAGCCTTCAAATACCTTTATAAGTGTGCCTGTCCCCACACCCCGACTGACTGGTCAAGATGCGCTTGATACATAACACGCTTGCTGACTGTGACTGTGTCTGGCAGGAGGTTATTTCGCCAGGAGGTAATAGTACAATCCAACCACAAATGTGGGCAGAGAAATGGACAATGAGAATACTACTAATACTTTTTAAAGTAACCACCTAACTAAATAATGCAAAACAAACAGACAAATATCTACATGCAAAGTAAATGTATAATGAAATTTCCACACCATCTTTATTTTCTCGCTTTATGTAATTATTTCTTTAGTATGATGGGTGCAGTCATCTGTGCTAAACATCCACTATATGAGCTGCAAACAATATATTTGTATAAATAACAGATAAAAAAAGTGAGACTGTACCACTGATTTGGATTGTCTCCGCAGAGAGCCTTTGGATTTGGCAGAAGACAGCGTGTGTGAAGATGCCTGACTAGGAGAGGGGGTACCGGACTGAGGACATCTCTCAGCAGCACAATCTACAAGCACACACACAGGAAATACAAAGCCTCATACGTCAGTTACCTTTATGTTTAAAATTATGACTCTCTCGTGCACACAGTTCATGCAGGTACACATACTTCCATGGGCTGTCAGCCTGATGATAATTCAAGAGCATGGCCCATCGCTTTGTGCAGCCCCAGGACATTGAACGCACACGGTCCACAAATTTAGAGTTTCTCACAGAATAATGTGATTTAGCCAAAACTGACACACTGTTCCAAAAAAAGATCAAGCAGCTGAAAAATCACAAAGCAACTTAAAAAAGACAAAAACAAATGTACGTATATCCAAGTGGGCATTCAGTCCAGCAAATATGTCTGCTTGAAGAGAAAATCAAGCTCAAGTTTATGTTGCTGACACCGAACCCCTCTAGGCTGTCATCGCTGAGCCACTGCAGCAGAGGAACTGTGATTTAGGGTCAGTAGCTGCCAGTTGTCCCACAGCATGACTGCAGCTCTAGAAATGGGCTGACCGAGGTATCAATTTTGTTGTCAGTATTGACTTGAAAAGTGACACATGGTGGTACTGCAAACCTCTTCTAAGCTAACAAGCAGAAACACTTACTGAAGACTGCCTATCAAATGCCAACTGGATGCTAGCCAAATCCACCATCTAATCCTTTAGGAAAAAAATCAGAGAAGAATGGAAAATAAAGTGAGGGGACTATTTAGCCTTTGTAACCTCAAATTCAGATCAAATAAAGAGTTCAGCTTTGAGGCTATAAAACTGGCGAGCGCTTAAGTGCACTTTCACTAGCAGGAAGAAAATGTGACGCTTTTTACGTAAACTGCATAACATCTTTTGAAGGGAAAAGGCTACCGATTCACTATTATTTTCCATATGCAAATATGTCCGGGTGCCACACACTAAAGCCTAAGAAATATGAGGAAAATGGCACTGAAGGCAGTGGCAGGTGGGGCTCATGGAGTCTGCATGCCACTCGTCACACACAGAGAAGCCTAACAAGCCCGTCTGTCAGCTAAGCTCTGTGGCTGCCACTGTTACTTCAGTATGCATACAATATTCAAAGCAGTTAATCTAAACAAACACAAACTCTGGGCACAGGAACACAAACGACAGGAGCTGACCTCAGAAGAGGACATAAAGCAATAATACAGAGGACCACTTGTATTCAATATCAACTAAATAATCAACTTCAAGTCAAGCTCAAATACAAGGATGGAAGAACAGCTGCTGGGCATTGCTAGCCTGTAAAACATTTGCATATCAATTACATCTGAGCACTGAGAGACGCTTCTGTTCCACATTTTACACAGTGGCATGCATCCTGCTTTTGTTTAAGTGCATTCAAGACTCTGGTCGTCCAAAAAGAAACTCCTTGAAAGTGTTAATATTCTACCAAAGGAAGGTAGGGGTTGGGGATGGTCACGAGAAATGAACAAAGCATCTGATTTTTCCAGGTGAACAATAATGTGATCAAGGCCAAAAGCCTAAAAGAGTCAGCCACACAAAAAAAGTTGTTCTTGACACAACAAGTACCGCTCAAGCTTCAACCTGTTCAGCGTGTATGATCTTTTCTGCACTGCGGAAGTAGGTGAAGTTGGGCCAGGAGCCTCTGCTCTATTCCTAAAATATTCTGTAATTCTGAGACACCGGCATCGCTTCATCACTGGGAACAACGATGATGTCCAAGTAACATCAGCCTTAGGTGGTTATAATCCCCACATGACCACTTTTTGAACCTAATGTCAACTATGAAATCAAGGATCGCCTCAAAATTTGTATTTTTTTGCCAAAAGATACTTTGCAACAACTGATGTAAAATTACCTCGTCTGAAAGTATCAGAAAATAAATGATTTCAGAAAACCTTCATATCCTTAAACCACCTTGCTTTTGTAAGGACAATGCAACATTCATGACTGCGTGGAACAGCGTTCTCGATGGACCACGGTGAAGCCACAATGAGTCCAAAACTTAACGGTAAAAAAAAAGCATTTACATCACAGGGCAGCAAATTAGCAGCACAATGTACTGACTTTGTTCATGAACTAACTGACAAAATAATCGAGCTAGTGCAGGCTGAATGCCTCTGTCCTGAACAATCATCAAACTGTAGCTGAGAATAAGGTTGAGGGTCTTTGGGGACTGGAAAAAGCTGAATAGGACACAACATGTCCTCAAGCTGTTGGCGCTGAGAAGTAAAGGGAACGACTTAAGTAGAAAAACATCTTTGTAACACAATGGAGAAAAGAAAGTGGCTTTCTCGAGTGAACAATTTTTTCATCACTATGTATGTACGTATGTATGTCCTCAAACCACTATGCCGAATAACTTGATATAACAAATTACAGACAGCAAATTCACATCAATTCACAGAGAACAAAATCAAATAAGCCAAATGAAGTTGAAGGAAATGGCCCAAAACTTGATGATGGTGCAGTTGTGTTAACTGTATTTAAGTGTATCAGTTCAGACGCATTACTATAAAAACAAAACAAAACAAAAAAAGACTGGACATTAACACATGCATGTTCTCAATGACATGTGTAACAAAGCATACAGAGGTGGCAGACTTGTTCTAAAAGTTGCTGACTGAATAATTCTAAGGTTCTCCGACAGCTGTTAGCCGGATACTGAAGCGAGATTGTTATTAACTCGTCAGTCGCCCCAAACAGGGACTCTTGAGTAAAGTAATTAGCCCCAAATTGCTGTAGGAATGCTGCAATGCGCACTACTTTGTGCTGTGTCCTTACTGAAGAAATGCATTTGAGGAAGGGATGCATGTGTGTCTGAAAGCAACACTACAGTACTCAGTTACATAAGAAAACAGAAAAAAAGAGAGCAGGGTGTTTTTTGGGGGGGTGTATTAGGCCAAGGATTCACATGAGTAAATATGGCACTCAGCGTGACACAAACACAAACTGTCACGCCAGCTGCCCACCTATACTACAACCAATCATGATATCGAAGGGCTCCGTGGATACAACTGGTAAATTAAGGCAGAAGAACACCAGTCTCATCAGGACACATATACAAGACATGACATCTTACCGGACTACTTTTCACATAAAGCTACACGTGCTTTCGCTTCATTATCTCAGCTCCATTATTATAGGAATTATTTAAATCAAGTGACAATAGAGTGTACCGAAAAAGCATCCAATTCTTTCTTTTCATAACATTAGAAGAATTTATGTAGACTAATGGCCCTTTTATGCTGTCAGTGAGGATGAAACATTAACAATCTCCAACATTCAAGATCAGAAAGAAGGTAAATTCTTACCTTGTGTTGCAAAGTTGACTGCCAGCAAAGTATTTAGGACCTTGCCAAAATTGTCACCAGTGTATAACCACTCTGGTTCAAACACCTGGATGGAAAATTTCAAAAGGTCAAAATTAGATATTTTCTTCCCCTTCCCCCTCTGATTGAATAGATCTGAGTAGGAATGCTTTTTTAGTGCATACATCCACAGCTAGAGAGACAGAGACACTCACTCCAGGTTATTGCACAAACAATGGAAAGAGACACACATAATGAAATGCACACAGGGATTTGAATAAGCCTCTAACAAGACAGACAAAAACTGACATGTTGAGTATGACCCATATTCTGTGTCTTAGCGGTTTGTAATAAAACAGGCAGCGTTGCAGGCACACACAGATGCTCACTCGCACACTGCTGCTCGGTCAGTCTCAGGCAGCTATCTTCTTTCCTCCAGTGGATAAGGTTTCACATTTTAAATAAAACATCTTAAATATAGTGTTTGAGTAGTATAACCTGCATCATGAGTCGTGTACAACATCTTTAAGTGTGATCATTACATCGCTTAATGTGGGACGAGCCTTAGGGTCGATGTAACTAACAAGACTTGCGCTACAAGTTGAAAAAAAGATAAGGAAAAAACATAACATTACCTTTACAAATACTGGCTTTACATCACCAAAAGCAAAACAAACCGTTGGTCATCACGATAACTGTTGCCAGCATTCACAAAAGTTTTGGCAGGGGTCAGTAGTTTCAGTGAAAATGTATTTATGAGCGTAAAAATCAGAGCAAATAAATCTTCACGTAGAGTTAATAACACAGAACAAATATTGGAGAGCCCCAACAGTAATTGATGCTTCCTCTTTCTGCATCTCGGAGCAGAAGTGAAAGCAGAATTACTGCTTTCTCCAGTCACAGGACAAACAGGCATTATCAGCTATAGCAAAAAGGGATGAAAAGTCCTCTTAACATGATCACATCACTGACCAAAGGATGGGCGAGGTTTGCCATAATGCCACACAGACATCCCCTGGCTGCTACATTTAATAGCGCCTCTCCAAAAACTTCTGCCCATGAGCTACTGGCTGGCTGCAAAAGGTCTAATTATGGGCTAGGGCACAGTTGGTGGATAAAAGCAAAGGGGACCTCCCAGACATAACAAGCCAGCTGGGCAGACCTACTGAACCACTTGACTTTGCAGTCAGCCAGCCTTGCTGACTCAATTGGCCATTTTAAAGAAACCAAGCGTTGTAATTCAAGACCAAAAAATATTATTTTTAAAGCTGGAAGAGACATTAACGTCCAGTGTGGTGGTAACAAACAGGCTGGTACAGAGACAGAGTAACCTCCCAACATCTGGAAAAGATACACCACTTTTCAATATTAGGGAATGCACTGAGCGAAACAGCACTGCTTTGGGGATTTTTGACCTGCAGCAAAACTAACCATTAAGTCACGAGTGCATGCAGGAGAAAATTTATTAACAAGGAAGTAAATGCTGTTCAAAACTCAGTTGTACCAGTTTGAAAACAGACAGTGAAGTCATGCGGGCCAGCACTTCACTTCCTGACTGATTAGTGGGAGTGAGTGACAGCATGTTTATATGTCTCACTCCACATGGACGTGAGGGGAAAGCATATGCCAGCAGGGTAAGCAGATCACAACACAAGCAAGAGTGTGTTCACATCTTGCAGTAGACAGGAGATAACGGCAGAGTGAGCTCAGTGTATTTCAACAAAACATGCCTCTGAATATAAAACTTGACAGACCACACATTGAGATAACTTACCTCCACTTTCAAGGACGAGCATCCTTTTAAAAACTCCTTGATGTTGGAAATGCAGTCTGCTTCAGTTCTCGGGTCCTGGCAATACTGAGTACACGAAATAAATATATAAACACATACCTCGGCTTAGTATGTCAAAGAGGCATCTGACACACTTATCAAACGCTCAAGGCCAAAGCTACAAATCACTTCGGTACACACTGAGCCCCGCAGTAAGTAAGAGAGATGCCGCAATCCGACTGTGGCAACCTAAAGTTAAGAAAATAACTGTAGATTCTTCCTGCGTCTCCTTCATGCATATATAACCATTACCACCACAAAACCGCCGTCAAAATAGCCTTACTCAAGCAACTTCCGCTCATTTTTACAGTTTCAAAATAAAATCCCCACCGACGAAAAAAAAGCTGACGATTGTATTTTTTTAAGCAAACTTCTAACAGTTCCCGTAAGACCAATGTAGTACTGCCACAGAGAATGTATGTAAAACTAGGGTGATCGGTCTGCCATACAAAGGAGAAGTTACTACTTCCGATTTTGTTTCGGGCTCGCGTTGTCGCCGCTTTGCGCTTTTTTTCTTTTCTTTTTTTTTCTTCAAAGGGGAGGTCGCACCGGGAAGAGCAGCCGCTCAGGAGGAAGTGACGAACTGTCTTTGCAACTGTTATTTATCACTATCAACTTTGCCATCTATAACAGTGAACACAAGTTGTGATAAAATTTATCACCTTTAAAAAAGGACACAAACAGTGTGGCGAACCTCTCCGTTTGTTCTGTACAGTACGGCCTATGTGCAATGTTTAGCGCACACTTGCTACTCAATTTGCCCTGTTTTGGTGGGTGTCCACACTGACTCGCACCTCTCAAGAATGCGGAACATTTCTGTCGCTTCACAGGAAACCATATCGTGTATTCACAAGTCTGAAACTCTCTAACTGTTGTTGTCGTTTTTGAGGCGACACCTATCGCACAAAACGGTCACAGACGGCTGTTCAAACTTCATGGTTCGAGTTCAGTGAGCTACAAAATCGCAAAGGCCTGCTGGAGGGAGAAGTTCTCGTCGGTATCACTTTAATCAAACCCCTCCCTTCTTTTCACCGTCGACGGATCTTTTGGCATTTGTTGACTCGAGTTAGCTTAAATCAATAACTCACCTTGGGAGTGAAGCCAGGTACGAGGCGCTCCGAGAGCTTGCACAGGACGACTCCATCCTTGAGCGAGGTTTTCAAAAACTCCTCCGGATCCGCTATGTTCTTTTTAGGCGAGCTAAGCACTCCTAATGATATCAACCACGTTACAGTCTGCTCCTCTGGATTCATAGCTCCACGAAATGACCATTGCCTAAGCCTGCATTGCTTTTAATTTAAAAAAGAAAAAAGCTGGCGTCCTGTTCCGTATCAATATGCAACTCACATCCGCACTTCTGCTAGAAGTTTAAAAAAAAAAAAAAAAGAGGCGGAGGGGGAACGACGACGCTGTGTTTCTACACGCAAAACTGATGATCACCCCTACTGGCAAATAGGCACCTCAACAATAGTTTTTTTCCCCCGTCTTCCCCCTCTGCAAAGTAGCACATGCTAGTAGAGGGCAATCATATTACATACTGAAATGCTGCAAGGCTCAGAAAACCGATATATGCAAATTGCATACTGATAACTCAGAAGAGGCAACTATTTAAGTCTAATATAATAAAGAGTAATAACTTCAACATAATTGGGTCAAATTTTTTTCAAATATGGAAAATGGGTCATCTGCCACAGGAAGCCTTATATGGGGGGAAATGTGATATTTGCAGATAATGAGTGTCTTGGCTAAAAAAAAAAAAAAAGTTTAATCATGTCATGGCCAAAATCTTAAATTTCAGGACAACAAAACAGCAAACGGAAAACCTCTTCAAAGCTTTTATTGAAAACAGTACAAAGTTCATTTGATGGCTGTACATTTCTCCCACTTTCAATGCGTTGCTCAATACGAAGATTCGGCCCGACCTCTGAACAGAAAGCTGTGCCAGCATCTGAAAGACAGCAAAAGAAATAAAAAGTTAAATTTAACAACAATATCATTTGTCCAAAAAACTTGGGAGTTTTTTGCATAATTTCAGATTATTTTTTACAAATTATACACACACACACACACACAATAATATACACAGCAGCCATAACAGGACTTTCAGGAAGTAATCTAAAAAGAAAATAGTACAGAGTCACAACAGGACTCAACCAACTTAGTTTTGTTTGTTGCATTTAGTGGGCCAAACAGGAACTTCCTCATAGCACCGCATAAAAAAAAAGGTTCAAATGTTTTGTACAGAACTAAGTATATTTGATATCTCAAATTATTTTCCTCCTAGCATCTTAAAAACAAACTAAATTCTTTTGGCATATCAAACCATTTTCAAAAACACAGGTTGGTATCAAAGTGCCCTGCATAACTCTACTTTCTAGGATTCTCTAAATTCCCATTTTACATTAATAAGTTACAGAAAATAATGCAAGTAAAAGAAAACAAACATACCTAACATGCAGAAAATACAAAAAGGTATTAAAATAATCATAATGCCCACTGTAAGTCAATTACTGAAGATTTTACTTTACATCATTAGTGATGCTGACAGGCTCACATGGATTTTAAAACACATTGTGTTCATCATTTGGGGCAAAATTGCTGTAAAATGTCTCAGCAGTAAAAGTTGTCCACCCCATCTTAATTGTGTACAGGTAGATAAAGACTTACTAGTCTGTTAGACATGGTTATGCGGATGCACTGTAGCTCAACTAGTCCAGGACTTGAAGACATTCAGATATGTTGAAAGGGCAATTGCCTTGAAGCAATGTTCATCCTGCAATGAGAACATCATATTAGTATGGGGCTTTTTTCTTAATTATGTATTATGAGGTAATTGAAAATTATATTGTTGTCCTTGGTCCAACTGTACATTCGTTTCATTGTTTTCCGGTTTGGCAGTTAGGATGATGGTGCTCTTCCAACGGTCTCCATTGTTTGAATTGGCATGCTCAAGGAAATGATTTTGATACCAAGTCTTTAAATTAAAGATTGCTTTGAGGTGTTTATAGAGGGAAAAAAAAAATGCTAAATATTACCCCATGATGTAAAAATGCACGGTTGCCAATCATTTTACTGATGTCGGATGACTGGTTGGGCAAAAAGGAGCCTTGGGGCTCAGTTGGTAAAATGGGTGTTAAAAGCATTCACGGGTGAAAAGGGAAGAAACTTCTTGGCATGTTGCTGCACTTTTGACAATTTTGAGTGACGAAAATGGACTACAACGAAAAGGTTCATTTCAGTCGACTTCCTTTTTTCCTTTTGTCCCTTGAAGCCAAGTTTCCTTGAATATCGCCCTTTGACTGGAGAGTGCAATACAGGACAATGAGAAACTCATTTACAGATGAGAAACAAAGAGTTTTGCTTTGCTTACCAGCTGTTGACTATCAGTCGAGTTGCATTTGGTCGTTGCATGCCATCAAATGGCTCTAGGGTGATGAATCCATTTCCAAGGAACTACATTGGAACATTTTGACAGTAACATTTGCCTAACCGTGAAAACAGTAGCGTCCAGTTGGAAGTACATTTGTGGCAAGAATGAACGCATCTCACTCCAATATTTAGCAGACTCACCTAAGTTTTACAGAGGACCTTTTTAAGGAGATCATGTTGTTACGTAACATTTGTTACGGTCTGTTGTTGAAAAATCGAGAAAAAGTTATGGTACAACTAAAACCTTTATTAGATTAGGAAAGCCATACTTATAGGGCATTGCAGATTTCAACAGCACTGAAAGTACAAAAAACTAACACTCACTTGGTAACTGTACTGACATAAGCAAGAGAGAAAAAAACTTTTACACATAAAAGAAAAAAAAAAATTGGGAAAGTCAAGACACAGTTCAAAACTAAGCTTCAGATTCCACAAATTTAGACATGGCTAGTTTGTCCTTCCTCCAAAATACGTTTTAAGTGTGCATGGAGACTAACGTTTGGTTTAATGACATTTCCAAGTCCAGTTCAGTATCTGCTGCGAGCCATTCCTCTATCGACTCGACTGCCACCACGGCCACCACGTGGCCCTCCACGACTTGAGCTGTTGTACGAGTCACGAGGAGGGTAGCCTCTCTCGGCAGGGGGAGCTGGGCCCCTATCCTGTCTGCCCATTCGCTCACCACGGCTAGGTGGATATGGGTCACTCCGACTGTTGGGGTAACTGTCACGACTGCCATAGCCATCCCGGGAACTGCTGCCATAGTCATCATAACGACTGCTTCCACTGCTCCCACCATAGGATGGTGGGGGGCCCCTTGAAGGTGGGGCGCTGCGAGAGTTACCTGCAGGGTCAATGGTTCAGGTAATTGGCAAAGTTCAATTTATACATTTTTCTTTGCACGGTCAAGTGCTATTTTTTTTTGCCAATAGAATTCATTCTGTGACAAAAATAAATAAAATTTAATGGATGGCATATTTAAAATGTTCCACCCTTTTAATACTTAACATGGATATTTTGTTGATATGCGCAGTAATATATCCAAGCACAGAACAAATAGGTAGTGGTACCCATTTCAGCATGCCTTTGATTTGAGTAGCCATTTTTCCATTTAGAGATCCAAGTGTAGGTTAGGGTGAGGTTTTCAGTTGTCTTGATGGTTTTTGAAGATTACTCCTTGAGGGAGTACTTTGCTGGACAACACATAACGGGCAACGGATGTTTCCAAGGATTTTTGAGGTTCCTTATGGTTGCAAAAACTTTGAGGTGCATCACATACACATGATATTGCCAAACTCATATTCTCCTGATGAATGCAGGGGTAATGCAGACTTTGGTATGTAGACACTTTTGTTTTTCAGTGGAGATGCCAATGGTAAAATATTGCTAGTAGTATGAAAATATACAACTTGGATTGTAGGTCAGGGAAAGAAAAAAAATAAATTACCATGTGGTTTCCTCTGAGGATGCAAAAAAAAAAAAAAAAACTGCAGTATCTTGTGATAGGACAAGGCAGGTTTGGTTGAATATTTGCGCACTTCTTCTTTGTGCCACAGCGATTACACATTGTCATTTCACTCATGGAGTTATGTCTTACCGTAACCATCATATGAGTCTCGGTAGGAGCCACCACTAGGACGGTCCATATAGCTTCTTGGTTCCCTGCCTCCTCCATAACCATCACGGTCACTGCAAAAAGCAATTGTCACTTAACAACCAAGGAAGATCTGACCTCAGGTTTTTACTTTTTGTATCAATCCAGGCTCATACCTGTATCCTCTTGACATTGAGCCGTAGTCATCGCGGGAAGTGGAATTAGAATATTCTCTATAGGAATAATCTCTGGAAGGTGGCCCATAGTCCCTAGAATCTCTGGAGTAATCCCGACTGGAGTAGCTGTGAAACATTACAATACACCTCAATACTGTTTCCTGAGCATACATTTGTGTTAAATACGTGGACTTTTTAAACAGAAAATTCAAATATAAAAGATGACCACAATAGCTCTAAGTAACAGCAACTATCAGCATGTTACACTATATCAATCTTGAGGTTTGCCATGTATGGTCACACTAGTGTGTATTACGAAAATACCAACCTGTCTTTTGAGTTGTAATGGTCATCTCTGGGTGATGGATAATCATCCCTTCTGGACATCATCGAGTCTCTGCGAGGTGGAGGTGGACCATAGGGATCTCTGTCCCTTGACATGGGAGCTGGAACACATAATGAGAAACTGAGAAGATTAATTACAAAATTAACATGAGACAGAAGTATCCCATCTAGTTATTTGCAAGAGAAACAGAAACTAGATACTAAATTAAATCTAGAGACTAAAATCTGTACAATTAACTTTTTTTTTTGGTAATTTCTTCCACATCACTTCCTGCATTTAAATATTGCAGAGTACAAGCACTTACGTCTGCTCATGGGACCAGATGGGGCAGACCTCTTGGGTGGGGGACCTCCATTTCGAATAGGGGGCCCTCGTTTCATTGGAGGGGGGCCTCTGGATGACATCCCTTTAAAGAAGGGTTCTACACTTCCTGAATCATAGTAGTCTTTTAAACAAACAAGAAATGCACATATTAATATACTACATTCAAAAGCTGCAACAAAAATCCATCCAGAGATTATTATATCATTACACAGATTCTTTCCATTTACAAACTGAGCAGACCCAAAAAAATAACTAAATAAATTACCTCTTGATGGGGGGCCTCTCATTCCACCAGGACCTCCCCTTGAACCACGTGGACCTCTGGGTGGCCCGCGACTGCGAGAGTGCATGGGTGGAGGTCCGCGCCTGCCAGCACTCTCAAACTGAGGTTTTGTAGCTTGCTCAACCTTGATAGGCTTGCCATCAAGAGACTGGTAGAAGAGTTACAAGTATAAATCATGTTTTTTAGCTGATTCTTTTTTATTTTTATTACAGCCAATTCGAGTCATCACTTACCTTTCCATTCATTTCGCGTGCTGCATCCTTTGCATCAGCAGGACTTTCAAAAGTTACAAATGCAAAGCCTCTTGATTTGTTTGTTTCACGATCCTTCATCAAAAGAACTGAAATAAAGGAATCGATGATCAGAAGTGAGCTTGTGTTTTTCAATTAGCCAAGTTAAATACAAAAGTGACTCATTTTAACAGTTTAAATTAGATAAGGGCACACTTCTATGACACCCCATAATCGAAAGTGACTCATTTCGGTTTCTTTGTGTCCCTTTCATGGTTCATAGGTTTTTTTATTTCCCTCAGCAAGACTATACGGCCATTTACAGTAAATACAGTATTATACATTAGAGTTTGGAAGAACAGGCTTTCTTTTAAATGAAGTGGAAAAAATGTCACAAACTATGTGGATAACGTAGAAGATGGTAAAACTGCAAAGTTAGTGTATTAAAAAGGGGTTATTCAGATTTCCCTACGCTGTAACAGTAAATTTAAATATACACACAGATGAACAAAAATTTGTTCCATTATTTCGCTACCACCCATTTGCCAGAATAAAGGCGCCAAACAGCAAACACTGAGCAATTTTAGAAGTACTTTATCCAGGATATGCACTGAACATGATATGGCCAAAAGGGGTTCCATTCCCACCTTCCACAATCCTGCCATATTTGCTGAAGTACTGCTCCAAGGCCTTTTCGGTGGTCTCCGTATTCAGTCCGCCGATGAAGAGCTTCCCTGGTCGGTCGGCCTCCGCCATGCTCCGAAGTCTGCTACCTAAAAGGAAAGAAAGACCATACATTTAACTTAAAAATGAGCATCAACCCTGAAACAAAAAGGAACGCTGTATCCTGAAATAAACAGCCACACATTACTTTGGAATTACCTTTCTGCTGCCAAAAGTAGGGAGCTACTGAATGCGCAAAATGGCGATAAAAATGCTACCGATTTCAGCTGCTTCTTTAGCCCGTTAGCTAATAAGTATTTCGCTCCTAACAAAAGATTCTGCTTCACGTCTACCAACAAGCTACTTTAAAAGCAAATATAAAAAATTACAGCTTAAATTTTGGCATGCATGCATACACACAACTAACTGCATTACCCCGCGACTTTATCAAAGCTACAGCGACGATAAAAATGGTTCCTCTCTCCGCCTTCTCACCCTTCTTCTTCATTTCCGTTTCCCGTAGACCAGTTGACCCCAATTGTGATGCTGCCGCCTAGAGTCCAGAAGCATTACTCCGTATTCTACAATGCCATGTCATTCTACATGTTCAAAACTACTCGCACTTATAAATATATATATTGCATAATTTGAGCAGTTCAGTCAGAATTCGTCATAGTACATAAACCGTATTAGGTTACAAATGATCTTCTTATGGCCTCTGACACTAGACTAGTCCTTTGCTTATCCTGCTAGAACTCAGTGCAATATTTGTAACTCTTGAATATAATATTTTACTACAGAGATTAGTCAGTGCTGTAGGTATTAAAGGAACTGCACTGAAGTGATTGTAATCATATCTATCTAATAGATCCCGATTTTTAAATGTAAACGTGGAATCTTCTTTGCACAGTAAGGTTACATATGGACCAATTCTAATTACATTTCCTTGCTTTCCTTATTAGAATGCATTGCATACACTTTCACTGTAATGCAGTTTAATCTTCACTTTATTTATCCTTGAAGCCTGATGAACAGCAACAATTAGTTAAACTGCTGGAATGTCATAAAGACATAAAAGCTGGGATGACCACTAGTTTACTGCTTCTAAATTTAGATAAAACTGATGTTACACTATAGGCCATACAATTAGAAACATCCCGTCTCAGAGTGTTGCTGAAAAAATGGACATTTATCACTTCTAGGCTGGACAATTGTAATTTGTTATTATCAAGTCTAAAACCTCCCTAAAGAGCCTTCAGTTGATCAAGAATGCTGTAGCAACAGTGCCAATAGGCACTAGAAACAGAAACCATATTTATCCTATATGAGCTTCTCTTCACTGGCTCTGTTAAATCCAGAATCCAATTTGAAATCCTTCTCCTTACATACAAGGTCTTGACTCATCAGGCCCCATCTTATCTTAAAGACCTCATAGCACCATATTGTCCCTCTATTGCAGCACAACTAAGGGAGGATTCAGGGTCACCTGGTCCAGCCCTAACTATGTGCTTTAGCAAAAAGGAAAGTTTTAAGCCTAATCTTAAAAGTAGAGATAGTGTCTGTCTCCCGAATCCAAACTGGAAGCTGGTTCCACAG